ATTGTGAAAAGGGCTCATAATAATTTTGTTTATGAGAGAAATTTAGCTGTACCTGTAATCATACTTGAGCCACTTTTCAAGTTTGTTGAGAAATTTTAAGATTGATGAAATGAGTTCTAAATAATATTTGGGACCTTGGAATTCGGTCATTTTTTCGCGAAAAATAATAATTTTCTGGTAGCAGTCTCAAATGGTATTCATTAATTGACAATCCGAATTAGTATTTGCTTCAATCATATCCTGTTCAGTCCATATTCACAGTTTTCGAAAAAATTCAAAATTTAAAGTGAACTTATAATTATGTGACGCAGTGTATTGCACGATTTTCTTTTTTTTACAAATTTTCCAGTATTTTTAGTATTTTTAACATATGATTTAAACATGATTTTTTGAATTTCCCGCCAGCCCATAATTTTGGAAAAAATCCCAATGTGAAAAGAAAACAAGAAACCCATCTGATCCATTAGTACTGTACGATGAATTATGTTTTATTGTATTTTATTATTATTATTATTGAAATTACTCTTATTATTTATGATTGATTGAGTATTTGAATGAATATGCAAAGTTGTGCAAAAGCTGTTCTTTATGACAAAAATATTTAAAAAAAAGAAAACAGCGATGTTTTCAAAATCGTCAGGAAGCATAAAAACATAATTGTGCTCTATTGATAAATTATGTGAAACACAAAAAATTATTGAACTTTGAAGGTTGCAAAAAAGAAAGTGAAAGAAAACGAAATGCAAGCGCGCCCCATCGCTAAATTTTGTACAGTTCATTGGAAACGTTCAATTTTGAGCGCCTACAACATATAGTAGATCTTGTTGGATATGGCTGAAAATTTCAGATTGTACTAAACAAACCTAGAGCTTCAATTTTGCCAAGTGCCAAAAATAAAAACCAAGTGCCAAAAATAGCTCTATTCAGAGTCATGTCGCTTTCAAACGGTAAAATCTCGTTTCGATGTATTTCTACAAAAAAAGTTGTCAACTAGAAAATTGAAACTCTATTTTTGTTTAGTACTTTCCCGTGATTTCAGTTATATTCAGCTGAATCGACTATATTTTGTAGGCATTCAAATTTGACCTATATTTTTCAGCGATGGAGCGCGTTTTCTACTGGAAATGTGCTCTTTTCTAGGATTGCTCCTGCTTCCTTATCTTCTTCATTTTATTTTTGATCTTCTGTTTGCGATTCTTGAACCAATTCTTGATTTGCATCTCACTCAACCCGATCTCTTCTCCTAACTCGCGACGCTCCTTCTGGCGAATCAGATTGTTTGTTTGGAATCGTTTTTCCAAGATTTTGTTTTGAGAATCGGTAAACGTCGTGCGAGGGGTTGGAGTAACGGGAAGTGAAGGCGTCGGAGGGATGACATATGGATGTTGGGGATCGTATGGGTTATAAACAGCGAGTTGAGGCATGGCTGGCGCTTGTTGAAAGCTGAAAACTTCTATTCTATTAGTGGCTTCTATTAGTGGGGATACATTTCTTCACTTTTTCTAAGGTCAGCTAGTCAATAAGCTTTAGAGATTATGTCAAAATTGATTAGGCCAGCTAGATAATACTCACCTTCTCATTTGCTCCAAAAACAGACTCCGATGGTAATAATGATCCGGTTGCTGGTTCTGATCGTCTTGTGCTGACTCGAAATATCCTTGGCCTGCAGGCCTTGGACCTTGATGTTGATAGGCCTGGGAGGACCCATTTTGCGATTGAATGCCCAGGTCCATTGGAGGAGACTCACTTCAGATGAGCTTGAGGATCCTGTGGTCAGGTCTTCGTGGGGGACCATCTTTAGAGAAGGAGGGAGAGACCACAGACTAAACAATTCTAATAATCGATTTTTTGAATGCTAAAAGGATGAGTTGGAATGCGTCGCCTATATTAAAAATGAAGAACAATGACTGGTTGTCACAACTAGGCGGAGCTACAGCGATGCGACCCCCTCACCCTGCCCTACCCCCATCGGCGAATTTCAAACGATTTATGAGAACTCTGAAAATTGACTGACAGGTGCTAGTCAGTCCTGATTGTTTTATGACCTCTTACATCGATAGTACTCACTGTTTGGGAGAAAATGTGCTCCTGGTAATGATGAGAAGGCAAGGTTGGGAATGCAAAGGTGCCAGAGACCTCGAATTATCTGAGGTTCGAGGTTCGGTTTAGAATTCCGCATTTTTCGTACTTTTCTAATTTTTCAGATTACCGAAAATGGAAACTACTGAAATTATTCGGAATCAAAGAGCAGATAAACCTGACAATAATTTTTTTGTTTCTGATAGTAGTAAACTGGTATAAGACTATGTTCGTTACAATTGGATCAACGATTGTTTGTCAAACCTTATAACGTTTATGAGCCAGAAATTGCAATAAAACCATATTGCCCTTTTTTTTCAGGGGTTGCAGCTTGATTAAATAATAAAAGGGAATGATCATCTTACATATTAATTATCATGCAGTGACTTGAAGAATAATGCACTGCTTTACTCATCATTGTGAAACAGAAATAATTTTATGGATTTTCCCAAAAAAGACATCAAATTATCCATCTTTCTGAAGAGTTCTGACTGTTGGAGTCAATTAAATCTGCAGCAATCGGAACTTTCCAGAAACACAAAGTCTAGCAGCATTCTACGAAACATTCCACAACTTGAACAGTAGCCAAAACAGTTACAAAAGTAAAATTTATTAAATAATCAAAATTCAAATTTTAAAATCAAACAGGCTATCAATCACTATCACATTCAATCTAAACTACTATTATTTCCTTCTTCACATTCACCATTTCCTTCTCCTTTTCCTGCTCCTCCTTCTTCTTCTCCCCATACTTCCTCACTTTGACTCTCTCTTGATTAAACCAGCTACGTATCTGAGCCGGACATAAACCAATGATTGGCGCCAACTTTTCAATTTCCCCTCTATCAATTCTGCTGCTTTTGGCAAAATTTTCCTTTAAATATTTTGTTGAAGGGCTTCACATATTCACGTCTATATGACCTTTGGTGATGTAATGGGTTCATGTGCGGTTCATTGTGGATCCGAGTAATCGGGAAAGGTTGGAATGGGTGAGGTCCGAAGATTTGGGCACTTTGCATAGCATCTGTTGGTACCAAGTATGATTGGGCTTGGGCGTGGTATGCAAGTGAATAGCTGAAAAATAATTCGTTCAAAAATACATTTTGGAAACCCTAGAAATTGATTTCTACGTGGCTGACAATAAGGTTAGCTAGCCTAGCAGCCCTAGATCATGTCAACTTGAAAACATTCTTGGACTATTAGGTTGTTCGGAAAGTCTTTTCCATTTTTAGCGTCAGATTCATTCAATGTACAGAAGGTCAAAACGGTGTTGGATAAATTGAAGATAATGACCATTGTTATCAATCACTATCTGCCAACGCTCCACTAAATTGTGGATGTTTTCCTTCCAGAACTCAGGCCACAGCGAATTGAAAATCAAGTCAACCCATTTTTGATATCATGTTTTGAAGTGAATTTTTTTCGATCAAGATGACGTTAGAAATGGCTGGGAAGGTGGTAGTCAGAAAGTCCAAGGTTCGAGCTATACAGTGAATAAGACAGCATCGTCTGGCCATATCCACCGAGATCGCCCTGGTTCTTCCTTCCCACATGAGGTCGCAGATTGTAATTTTGAAAATAAACCAGTGTGTTTCTCTCCAATGGAGATCCACATGGAGTCTGAGTTATGTCACCTGAGATGAATAGGTATCAGTCGGAAAAGTGACACAATTATCTGGCAACTCCCAATACTCCACTCCTTGGTAGATCACGAAACCGACAACACCCCATTTTTTACATGAATTTCACGTTTCGGGACGTTTGGTGATTGAGTGCCGTTGTCAACCCATTTGGCATGTGGCTTATTGTAATCATACATTACCCCTTTATCACCACTAGTAATGATTTGAATCTAACATTCATGTGTGCAATGCAGGATGCGAAGATTGAAACAGGTGTCCACAGGTGAATCGAAGTTGCATTGAGCCAAAAGGTGTGGTCCATGTCTTCCCACTGTTTTTACTTTGCCGAGCGTTTTCAATTCATGGCTTTTTGGCGAAAGGCTTGCCACTGGTGTACTTGATATATCCCGCACTGTTTGAGACGGGTCCCTTTGAATCCCGGTTTTTAAATCATCCAAACTTAATCCCGTTTGCCTTTTTGAAGTGGGATTTTTGTCCAACGAGAATTCTCCTTTTTAAATCGATGAGTCCAAATCGTGACGGTAGTTCGAAAGGGTGCATCTTCGTTGTTAACTTCCACTAATTGGCAATCAATTTCAGCTAATCTAAAGTCAGATAGAGCTACAATTAAAATGGCAGTCCGAAAGTTTGAACTATTAGAGGCGAAAACGGTGGGCATATCTCACATCACGAGAAAAGGTGAATGATCTCCGTTTGGGTGTAGACACTATTAGACCCCGCCTATATACTGATAAAACGATAACTCCCTCGCTTTTACCCCGTTCGAAAAAAAGAAGTTTAAAAACAACAGGTCAAAAATGGAAAGGACTTTTCGAGCAACCTAATAGATAAAATATACTGGATAATACTCACCTTCTCATCTGCTCGAATCCAATCTGTGGGTGATAATGATGGTGGTGATGATGGACCTGTGATCCTTGAACTGCAGACATAGTCACTGTACCTGGTTGAGAATAATATACCGGATGGGATCCTTGAAGTTCAGGCATACACATTGGACCTGGACAGGCTGGCTGGAAGGGTCCATTTTGAGGAGCTAGGGACATATTCATTGGGATTGATGGGAAGTTGGACGGTCCAGTCATTTTACTTGGGAGGGAAGATCCAAAAGATGGGTTGGAATGCATTGTTTAGAATCAGAATGAGAAAAATGACTGATTGTCCCAACTAAGCGGGTAGGCGGAGCTACACTGATGCCAACCCTCTCTCCATAGTGTGATATGCAATCTGATCATCTCCGCAACTCTATTCTATTGGCGAATTTCAAACGATTAATGAGAAATCTGAAATTTGACGGGCAGTTGCTAGTCAGTGCTGATAGTTTTATGACCTGGTATGACCTGTTAGGATCCATTGTTTGGGGAGAAGATGCTCCTGGGGATAATGAGAAGGTAGGGTTGGGAGTGCAAAGGTGGCGGAAAGACTGAAATATCTGAAATTCGCGAGGAAGTATCGCTAACAACCAGAGGTGAGTGTAACGGTGTTTGGAATTCCGAAAGTTCCGAAAAATTTCATTTCGAAGAAAACGGAAACTAGTGAAATTATTTGAAATCAATGAACCTGTCACTAGTATGTTTCTGTTTCAGATAGTAGTAAACTGATATAAGACTCTGTTCCTCACAATAGGCTTCGTTCCTGTACAGATGCAACTCTGAGATGTTTTTGAAGACGTAAAAATTTTTCTGACCAGCAGAAATTGTATTAAAACCATACTTGTAATCCGGGCCTTTGCCGGGTCTTCGCGGGCCCTGCCATAACTTCTTTCAGAATCAATGTTTTCGAATCAGGGCCCGGCAGGCCCGCCCCGAGCCTGCCG